CTGTATCATCAACTATCAGGATTTACCTTAGAAAGAACTGTGCTAGGACAGTGTAAGCACTATAGGAAGCTGAAAAGACATTTCAGACCAGAATAAACCAAAAATGTCTCTTTCTACCAGTTTTTGATTCTGAAGTTTGTTCTGTGGTCATAGATCCATGTAGTCTCCATGCACTTTGTTGTACTTGCAATTTGCCTTTTCAAGTTTAAATTAAAAATAACAGGAAGAGGAAAAATATCTTGCTCTCAGACTTAAATTCAAACTGGAGCACCTTTTTCAAGAGCACAGTTTTATCAAGAACTGATTACATAAATCAGTTTGGAAGGAGGAAGTGGAATTACACTAACAAGTTTAAAAAAATGACAGGAAACCAAGTGGGAAAAGAGTTTCCTATGTTATTTCCTTATGCAGAGTGAAGAACAGCACCAATAGGATATTTTCTAATGTATCATTTTCCAACTCCCTGGGAATGAAACTTGAACTCTAGTTCAAGCTGTTAGTAGAGGCCACTGGGAGATACGTTCCAGTGCCAAAATGTGCACATTCACCTCTCCAGAGAAACTCCAAGAAAGATTATTATTTGCATCCATTTCTAAGGTAGCAACATAATGTTAAATAATATGCTTCAAAACCTACATTGTGTCAAATCCTAAATCGTTTGCTTGCCCTAGATTCTTAATCATTAGTTTTGCTTAAGAATACTTGGGGTCTATTTGGTATTAAAGCTGTCAAAAAAAAGACTTCATTGACTTCAGTGGGAGCTACAGAAATAGAACTAGAAATTCCAAACCTGCAATATGGAATTAAGAAATAATCTTTAAAGGACTTGTTTGGGTGACAAAGTGTCTGTTCGGTGTGATACAGGACCTACACTTGATTGTGTTGTAGCTTTGCACCAGCACAAATGCTGCTGGTCCAGAAGCTAAATAACCTGAAGTGCCTCACTAGTTTTGCTACTTACAGCTCAGATTGGCAAAATTAGTCTGCATGTTTAGGTGGAACAAAATCATGCCTACAAAACATGGAAGCTCAGGTTGAAAACCCAAACTTTACATGTTTAAGTAGCTAATGTAATGAAGCTAGGATTATTAATATCAATGGAGAATTATAATGGTTGCACCATCAAACCTAGCTTTCATGGTTTTTAAGGTGTTAGTAATTTATTTCTTTTTTAAGTAAAGGACCATATGACTGTGATTTTAAGATATTTAAGATGCCAGGCACCTCAAAGTCTCTGTCTAAAAATTTAAGTAAGTAGTAAGCCTCTCCAGGTCCCTCTGCAGAACCTTCCTGCCCTCAAACAGGCCAACACTCCCAACTTTGTGTCTTGTGCAACTGACTAAGAGGGCCCTTGATCCCCTTATCCAGGTCCTTGATAAAGGTATTAAACAGAATGTACAGTGTCACTGAATAAGCAAGTATCAGGACAGTCTTAAGACTGACATCTTCAACGCAGCTATAACGAAAAACATGAGACAAAACCACAGAAATGTGATTCTTGTGCCCTGAAACCTTAAGAGTAGAAGACTTATGGAAATCTTGCCCTGAACTGTACGAAAGAACTGATGTGGAGCATCCTGAAAAGCAATATGGATCTTCTCTGAAAGAGTCTGAGCTGCCAGTGAGCATAGAAATGACAAAAAAGGCCATGTCTGGCCTTTATCAATATTCATCAGTGATAAGGGAGCATGATAGAACCAAGCAGCCTTACTCCACTAGCATCTGTTCGAGAGTTGCCTGCATTGTCCATATTTCTTTACATTTATTTTGACATTTTGGTTATAAAACACTATTTTCACACCTGAAAAGAATTAGGTCCGATACATCTGGAGACAGAGATGCCATAAACCCTATGCTTCAGCTTTCAAGAGCATGATAGAAGACCAACAGACATAATGAAGAAGAAAAGAAAGTCCATGAAAGCACCTCCTTAGCAGCAAGGGTTGAGACAGAAATTTGAACATCAATTATTCTTCCATGACAAGCAGAAAAACTGCAAGTGCAGCTGTGAAGTGATCAACAAAGCCCAAGTGACAATTTTAGCAGGGTGATGCTTAGTGCACAAGTGCTGTTTACTCAAGGAGCAAGTGTTGGAGGTGATGATGGGGTGATACCTGATTATGTGTCATTAAGAAAGCAAGTCCATATAGAGCCTCTCTCTTAACAGCAGGCATTTAATTCTTCCAGTGATCAGTGAATAGTACAACACATGGCAGTTACACAGCCATTTGGGATGGGCAATTACCTGCACCATAGTGTAGACTCTGAGTCTGGACTTAAGATTACAAGCACAGCATAGCTGGGGGGAAGAGCAGGAGGTGGCAAACAGCCATGAGATGAATCCTGCAACCAAGGCTATTGCCTAGATACCCACCAGTGATTCATTATTTTTCCAAGTCACCGTTTTATTGTGTTTCTCCACCCCATCACCCCATAAACTCTATCTGGATTTGTTGACTGCCAATGCAACTTATTTTCCCCTTTTTCTGGTTATGGGTTTCTTAGGTATTCAGTAACAGGCTTCAGAAACTGTGGCCCTTTTATGCCACAAGGCATGGGGCACAAGGGTTGCAAAACCACCTGTCTTGGAAAATATTTTGAAAGTGCAAAGTTAAAAGTCATTGCTACAGTCAAACTGTTGGAATGTGAAGTCTCAAAGGACAGTAAAGATTGCGAGAATGTGACATATTAAAAAAAAACCCTTAATAAAATTAGACTTTAGTTCTTAGACCATTGTCTGCCTTCCCTTTAAAGGGAAACAAAGATGGCAAGCAAAGTCTCTCTTATATAGAAGAAATTATCTCAAAACACCAAAAGAAATTATTTATTTAGATACCTGCTGTGCTTCACTAAAAAGTCTTTGATAAACTGGTATCATTGTTTGTTCTGTTATTGCTGATGAAAGCTATTTGATTATAGCTGTAAAAAATCTCCATAAAATCTTAAATAAAAAACACATGTTGTGGCAGAAGCCTTTAGAAATAAAAAACATTTTAAACATATTTTGAAGACAGCCTAATTCCATTGTTTTCTTTCAGGCTGAAAGGGGAAATGCTGCATTGTTCCAAGACTCAAGAGTCCCAGATACACTATTTACCAGCAATTAGGTACTTGTTATCCCATATTTCTCTCCATACATAAACTAGAGTGACTATACCCACTAGAAAAAAAATAATAGCAATCATTCTTGATTTTCCATTAACATTGCACTCAGGAACAGTATTATTCATGCATATTTTGGTGATTCAGGTTATTCTGTTTTGTATAATATAAAGCATCTAGGAGAGGTTGCACAGTGCAAGGTGTTGTCATGACACAGAAAGTGGCTTTCAACAGCTGAAAAATATCTTTTGAGAGCAAATAAAGTGGTCAGATTCACAAGTCAATATACAAAGAGCAGCAACCGCAGTTTGCTTCTACTTGGAAGGGATCAGAAATGTGATATTTAGTTAAAATCCCAGAGTTCCTAATAACCAACATGGTGAATTTGGTTGAACAACATAAAAACCCACTTTTCTTCATGTGCCATAACCACTGAATGAGGATCCGAGCCAAACTCAGTCCTCAGAGAACATTCCTGAGAAGCCCTAAGGAAAACTCACCCTCTTATTCTACGTCAAACATGCCCATAAATGAAGCCTGGCAAGTACCTTCATATTAACATGCACTTAATCATCTGGTTAATGATCCACTCTAAGTATGATCCAGGATTAAATATCTCCCCTGTATAAAGAAGGAACGTGACTTCTGCATACCCTGCAGTAAGCGGAGCATATTTAGCAATAGCAGTCTCTTGTAACCTGCCCAAAACTGTGTGCCAGTGTTCTCTCTGTGTACTCACAGCAGTCAGTTTGAGGATGCTTAATGATTATAACTTGTGGGCATGTAATGTACACACAACAAAACATAGACTAATTATAGGAGACCCTCGTTAAAATTTAGACACTCACCATATTTATCATTTATTCTACACCCTGTATTCCCTATTCATTGAGAATGGAGGTGGCTGCAAAATAACACCTGACAGCCAAACATCTTGCTTTGGCAGTATCAGTAATTAATCAGATGCCTCTCGGTTACTTCTTCTGAAATCTAAAATTAAAATCTTCTGAAATATTAAGAGGAAGGAAAGCAGGGTTCCAGTTTCCATTCCATAGAATGGAATTGAGTAACTTATGGTATTTGATCTCATACTAAAATGTGTTTTAATTTAATAGTATTCAGCAGTTATTTGCTGGAGGCTCCTATTTAATTTACATTTACATGCATCTCAGGGCTGTCATTAAATACAATTTTTATACCATGAATATAATCCTATCTAAAACAACTGTACATGTGTAATCTTAATCACATAGGAATTTACAAGGACCTCAATGTATAAAAGGCACTATTACATCATGTGTTTGAAATGCAGATGTATCTGGGATGGACTGCTGGGCTCTAGGCTGGTTCAGTAGTTCACAGCAGTATTAATTCTTCCTTTAAATTAATGGATCCAATTCTCAGAAACAGCATGGCCCCTTTATGCTGCTCTGCCAATATCAAATCAGCCTAAAGGGGATAAAAATACACAGAAGGGATAACTTTTGCTGACACGGTGTGTGTGCAGAGCACAGAGTTGAGGAAGTAGGATAAACTAAAATATCCTAGCATATTCTCAGCTCAGATCAGAAACCAGGAAAGCTCATGTTGACATCCTCAAAATGTGGGCCAAGTAAAATAAACCTACAAGTGAAGAAGAGTTGTGAACTGGCCTGCTGGAGTTCACTGGTAATTTCAAGGGTGCAAGCAAGGGTGCAAGGTGCAATTGCCCAAATGGACAGTGATTGTGACTGTCACGACTGCCAGTCTTGCTCTTGCAAGAAGCATTCACAAGTGTGGTTCTTGAAAGACTCCCACAAAGACTGTTCAAAGCTGACACAAAATCACCAGCCCAAATATATCATCAAACTGAATAACTCACAGCCAGGAAAAAAAAAAACCATCATTTTTTCACTTACTTCTAGTAGAAGTCCACCTTCTTGTACAGCAGTCTTATTAGATATATTGTCTTCTTTTATCGTTTGGCCAACTTGCTTCTTAAAGTGCTTTTCTTGAATGGCTGTTGGAAAGAGTTATCATCAATTTAGAAATCATAACGATTAGGGTCACAAATAAAATTCTTGTTTAGGCATTTAACATGCATTGAATTTAATTGGTGGTTACTGTCTTTGTGGTCTGATCTTGGTTACTGACAGCTTTCTTTTCTCTTTTTTCTCCTTGTGCTGGAGATAGATACATACTTTGCAGTCCAGATGTTTTTTATATGAAATATCTATCACATTTTTTATTGAACATATTTTTTCCATTAGTCTACTCTGCATAAAGCAACAACCAAAACCCACAGGAAAGAAACAAAAGAAAGTTAGCAAGTTGTTTTGTTTATAAAAATATGTATTATGACAATACAGAGAAATGTCTATATAGCTCAGAAGAAAAGGGAGTGAATAAGTTTCTTATTTTCAGCGCTGACCTCCTTGACATCAGATTATTTTTTGTCTCACTTTACCCAGTTCACATCTACAAATTTCAGCCTGACTGTAAGATTCAAGGGAATGTTGTTAAACTGTTTCATTTTTACTCAGTTTTAAAGTTTGTTTTTAGAGGGTCATTGACTCCATGAAATTCATTAATAGTTCTCATTCTAGATTAAAATTCCATATATTTTTCCTACTAATAGGGGGAAAAGCTTATTCCTGATTAAGTTTTCATAGGAAACTCAGCTGGTGAGTGCTCTTCCTTCACATGCTTAATCTCAAATATCTTTGAATGCTGAAATTCTTCCTGTCAATATATCCTGCAGAAAAATCACTGAAATACAATCCCATTTCTGGGAATACTGAAAGAATTTCTGTTAAGACTGGCATCACATGATTATTTGGCTTCAGCATCACCTAGGGAGTACAACAGGAACCTGTCTTTTATCACTTGATCAGTAAAAATTAAGTCAGCTTTACTCTATTTCCAGAGAAGGGCCATACAAATATCCTGGTAGCAAACAGAAATCGAGTTTTCTGGTTTTTCTCCTTTTCCTGGAGAGAATGAGAGAGGAGAGTATCCCAGTGATATCATTTGGGACGTCTGATACACATTTCCCCTTCAAGCCAAAGGGGAGCAGGAACAGCCACGGCCAGAGACGGTTAATAAAACAAAAAACACCTCTCTGAAAAAAAAAGCCAAACCCACACCAAAAAATCCCAACAGCTACCCAACCAATCAAAAAATAAAACCTTCCCCCCCAGAAAGGGTTTAGATGGCAGGAATAGTTTGTACCAAACCAGAATAAGAAGAGGAGGGAAACAGCAAGCCTCTAAATCTCCTGATCTTGTGCAAGAGCTCCTTATCAATTTAACAGCCTAGTAAGGGGCAGGATACGTCAGCATTTTACAGTACACGATGGCAACTCAGAATCACACCAACTAAATATTTGTGATGGTTTTTAGCTTACTTTGTAAATATTTGCTGAAAGTGTTAATGTCGGTCATTACCCCAAAGCAATTATCTCAAATATATAATTAGATGTAATAAATCCCTCCCCTGGGCATGGGAAAACACATCAGGAGAATCCCAAGCCGCTTTAAACAGATCCCTACCTATATTTTCCAGCCAAAACAATTTTGGGATTTCAGACTTGCAAGCTAGGCTGCTCTGAATAAAATATACAGATTCTTAAATCTGCATTTTCATTTTGGTGTACCCTTTAAGTTAATAGGAAATGGTTGCTTTTTTCCCCCCGATCAGCCAGACCTTCTGCTAGGCCTGTCTATAAGAACAGACATAGAAGCATAGGTTCATTTAAGTTGGAAAAGTCCCTTAAGATCATCAAGTCCAACCACTAACCCAGCACTGCCAAGTCTGCCACTAAACCACGTCCCTAAGTGCTAAATCCACAAGTCTTTTAAATACCTTGTGACAATTTTTAAAAGCCCAACCCCTATTCCAATGGCCTCTTCCAGAGTTTCCCTCCTCAGAAAAGATGTTTTTGTAATTACTGACATGGTGGTTTGCCGTCTTTGCTCAGGTTAAAGGACAGACAGGGAGGAGTGAGAGGAAATGAAGGTTTATTTCTTTGATGCGCTCTTTTGGTGTTGTGAAAATTCCATCCGTTCGAACTTCATCGTTAGTGGAAACTATTATTTTACCCAACTGAGCAGGCCAGAGCTCCCTGCCTGCTTGTTAGCCTTCAGGCTCATACAAACACAGCAGCAGAAGCACAAGAAATGTTTGTTCTGCAACTCGTCTGGCTACTATAAATTCCATCTCCGAATGGAAAGTATTTTAATGTTATTTTGCCAGTTAGAGTCACCCATATGTTAGGCCACACACATCCGCTTCATAGCCTGCCCTTCTCACTGGCCTGACTGCAAGGAGACCCCCTGCACCATCAGAGAAAGACAAAGAACACCACTGCTCCAAGAAGTGAATTCTTCTCAGAGATGGGAACGTTTGCTCCTTGCACCCAGGGCAGCAGATCTGTCGCTCACTGCTCACTCTCCTTCTGCCTCCCCACACTGGAAATACTTGATTAATCCACCCACAACTGGGCTGATACTACACTGACACCTCAGAAGAGAGGTGCTGGTAATAGACTCTCACCTGGGGAAAGCAGAGGAAGACAGGCAGAAAATCACACAGATCCTGAAAGAAATGAGGAGGAGGAGGAAAAGCAAGACATGACAGGCAGATGAGGGAAACTTGCAAGATGTTATCTGACTAGGCAGAAAAACAGGGAAAAGAAAACAGAACAGTCTAACAATACCCCTGTCACCACCAAGAATCATGAGAGAGAACAGGACAGCAAGTATTGGTTATGATGGGAAGCTTGATAGAAAAGACCCTGATGCCAAGACAGCTGTGATCAAGCTTAGACATCTCATAAAATGGTGTCCCTCTGGAGCAACAGCAAAGCCTATGATGATGAAAACAAATGAGAGCTTGAAGAATGCAGGAGTACTGTCTCTGGTAGGCAGGGAGGAGCAAATTGCAGTAAGCTGAAAAATAAAAAACAGCAAAGGATGACTCAGTGACCTGAGGGGGAAATGGGCTGCTGGAGTTCCCATGTATCAGGAATGGAGCAAGAGAAAAGCTGATACTGCAGGCAGCCTAATGAATGAAAAGAAAAGAAAGAAGAGAGCTTCAGCTTTAGGGAGCTTTGGACTACTCTCTATAGGAGAGGCAACCCTTTTGACAGTCAGCACAGAGTGCTCACCCATTAGGTTCAAAATCAGCAAACTGAAGAGATGGGAAGAGGAAACATCAGAGACCAATTTCTGAGCACAGTGTATCGAGCCTGCACTTCCAGAACATGAAATAAAACAGAAGATGGAGCTGTTCTGCCAAAGAAGATGAATGAGCATATTGATACCATAGGATGATAAATACCAGAGATACACGTACCAGGGCTGACAGTTTTGCAAGGTCATGCGATCCAGTGTGCATGGTGCAGTCCCATGCAACATTAAAAGTCTAATCTGAAAGCAGTGAAAGGAGTGGAAACAAAAAAAAAATAATGTAGAGTTTACAACTGACAGTAAATTAATGGAAAAAAAAAGTCCACAGAGGAAACTACAAGACTGGCTGAATGAGTATGGGGCAGTCTTAGATAGGGGCTGTTGCGCCTTTCACAGCTGCACAGTCTCTGCCCAGAACAATGTAAAAACTCTTTTAAGCCTCCAGTTCTGATAGGAGCATTGCTATCTGCATTTGCAAACACCTTGGCTTGAAAACCAAATCTGGAATATTGTAAAGAAGAGAAAAGCTGCCTAGCACAGTCTATAGAAGCATTATGAAGCCAGCCATTCCCTTTCTCCCAGAAATAACAGAACATTTATTCATTGCAGGATACTCTTTAGTTCAAAGGGATGGAGATTTCAGGAGTCTCATAAAACCATACTTTTTAAACCCATGGGATTACATTCTCCAGAGTGTTTCTGTACCTCATCCTGCACAATCACAGCCTTCATTCTTCAGAAAATAATCAGCAAAACTGGCTGCTAAGTTAGGCCGTGTAAAAGACTAACATGGGGGCAAACTGCATTGCAGCTGCCCCAGGTGCCTGCATCAAGCAACAGCACAGGCAAGAAGTGAGCAGTGAAGGGATGCTGCTTCTGAACTGAACACCTTACCTGGGTTCGTTTGGGGTGTAGGAAGGGGACTACACAGTATTCTTCAAATTCAGGCTGGTGAATCAGTTTCAGGCCCTCCTACAAGGACTACTGGTTCTCTCCAACGATGCCCAGGGGTTAAATTGTTTCTTGAAACAGGTGGATGAAAATAGCCAAATCCGGACTGCAGGTTCAGAGACACTGCTTTAAGCGTGCAAATGTTATGTTTGGTAAGTGTTACTTGAAAGGAAGTGAGAACAGGGTCTCTCTTCCTGGATCTTCTAGCTGCAGGAAGAATCAGCTATGCGTGTTACTCTGAATACTAAGAAAACAAAGCAAATTGACTCGGAAACACTCAGTACGAGCAATTCTGCTTAACAAACCTAGAGGCATGAACTGAAATGGTCTGTTTCCTCTGGCTGTGCTACAGAGAACACCGAGTGATAGCTAGGATGGGGGTCATTAGATGAACACTAAAATTAAAAAATGCACAGCGTAAGGAACAGTTTTCATACATTGCTGAACAGCATGGAAGGGACATTTGCACTCTGAAAGGCCACAGCACACAGGTTGTACAAATGCTTTGGGAAAGAAATTAGCACCAAAATGCATAAAAGCTGAATAAAAGCTATATGGTGCTTGGTCCTGTTGCGGAGGCTACCAGAACGCCAGATGAAATTACGCTAGCAGTAATGCAGAGTTTTTCTTCTCAACTTGGCGGTTTTCTCAGTCTGCTTCTTCTTAAGGGATGCTTTGAAATCTGACTTCCCTTTGAAGTTTCTCGAGTACAGCATGACATTTATTTAAGGTACAAACCGAACCCTTTTGCTTTCCAGATCCCATCCTCTCTTTCTTCCAGAACCACTGCTCCCCTTTCCCAGCGAGCCTCATCCACGCTAGAGGGGCACCAAAGAGATGCCCTGGCCGGGCTGCCCTCCTCTCCCCGGGGCCGGCTCGC